TCCCTGCTCTCTAGATTTGTTTAACGCTTTCTTTTTAAAGGCTCAAAAAAAGGTACATTTCTGCTTATTTTTAATACTTTCTCTAGTTCCAACTCTGTTGTGTTGGTAGATTGGTTTTTTACAGTTTGTTTTAAAGCTGTCATTTGTTCTATCAAGGTAGCTTTAGATAATTGCTTCTCTTTTCTTCTCTCTCTAAAGATACAAACTTTAGATTTCTTCAGAGTGTTTCTGCCACTAAGAACAGTAAAGCATCACTGTGAATTCTGAGTTTGTGACCTTCCTAATTAATGGCATGGTTTTGGGGGGTGGGGTATGTTGTCTTTCCAGAGTGTCCTCCCCTACTTTGTTGCTACAAAACTGGCTAACATCCGAAGGCCAACTTGGGATAAGCCCTCTCCAGAGGTGTTTGTGAAGTCTGCAATTAAAACCGTCGGCGTGCAGTCCCGAACCAACGGCTACCTGATCCATTCTCTTATGGTATGTAGATCTGTAAGTCCCAAATCAGCACTCTGAATCACATCGAATCACAAAATAGTATGTGATACATTAGCTTATATATATTATCTAGACTTAATAACAAGGCATCTGTGTTTTATTTTATTTTAAACAGTACACCCAAGAACTCTAAAATCTACCTATAAATAAAACAATAATACAGTAAAACATAAGAGCGTATGTTTCAAATGACTTCAAATTATAGGCCTTAATTACATGTCTCCCCACTTCTTTCCCTATAGGCCTCAGTCATCTCAAGCCTGCCTTCCTGGCTGTATTTTAAAATGGCCATGAATATAGGCACTTCCATGCGGGCTCGCTATCTGAAGAAAAACAAGAAGAACTGAGAATTGATAATCGAATGGAGGAACTTGGCCAGATGCTCCAGCCTAGGCACGTTCACAGCAAGGCACCCACCATCTCCAGATCTTCATTTGTCATGTTAATAGTTGCTGATAAAGCTAAAAGTTGTCATAATTGGGCGGACAGCAGAAGTTGCTTTTAGGAGTTCCTGACATATATTCTGGGAGCTACTAGGAGTTATTTTGAAGTTTAACATAAATACTCATATCAAATGGCTATAAAACTAACATTAAGAAGAACTGCTTAATAGGAAGGAACACAATGATGGCAAATCACAGAATGATAGAGTCAGACATAAGGCTCAAGAGTTTCATCTGGCCCCAAATGCTAGTCATGATGGTTCTTGTATTTTCTCCAAAACATAGTTTAAAAAGTATGTTGTAAAATCACCAGCTACTCTTTTTTGCTTTTAACACTTTGAGGGAGTGGAGATATTATTAACTGATTCACTTATGGGAGGACGTACTCAATTTGCATAGCTCTTGGTAAGGTTTTCTGAAAGTATGTCTCTGTTTATACACTTATATGGCACTTCTTTCTCAAGGGTAGCTAATGATGTAAAAATAATGAAGAAATATGGAGTTATTTTTGACACAGGAAACCCACTAAAAAATGCTTTCCTCTAATACATATGTCTTCTCAGTTTAAATGTGTATAAATGATGAATGCTATATGGTATGACTTATAAAGGTAAACAGGCCAAAATGTACATTGAGATGGGCAGACCCCGCAGTGCCACTAAAACCCTGACCCAAGAAAGTGGCCTGCTTGGACTCCAGCTGTGGTTTTTCTGCACTGCATCAAGATTGCTCACATATGTGACAGCAGACTACTTGTAGAACAATGATGGCATTATACTTTTAAATTGGTGCCCTATAGATATCGACATAATTAGTTTTAAAAAATGATATAACCATGGTATTGATTGCGAATATATTTCTTTGGTGTTTGAAATTAAGGCCATTTTTACACTGGTTTAATATAAATTAAGACTTACTTTAATCCTGCTACATAACTTGTTTGGGGAAATTGCTCAGAAGTAACTCAGTGTTGTGTAACATGCAATATAGAAGGTAGGTCTTTGCCTAGGCTGTGGTTCCCAGGCTCTGAGTTTAGGTACCAGTAAATTTGCAAAACAAATTAAAAAAAAAAAGGAAAGCGAAAATTAATTAGTGTGCTGAAGTGTTTCTGCTGTTTCTAGCTTTTAAACTTGCCAGCTAAGGACATAAAACAAAAACAGAAAAACCCAAATTTACCATCTGCTATTGGCATCATTATATAAAAGGCATTTAGCACCCTCAAAATAGGAAGAACATCATCTGAGAATGAAGAATAGTCATTTAAATTGAATAAATTTAGCTTTATGAAAAACACATTGCCTTTTTCTCTCATTTTCTTTTAGAAATGGTGAAACCACAATGAACTGGATACTGTCATCTCGTTTGCCTTCACATATTTGTTGGTTGATTGTTATAGTGGCTTTTGATGGAGAGTTGGTAGAGGGGGGAGGGATTGATTTGCAAGTATACAAAATACATCTTTTATCCCATTTAAAAAACAGTTGTATTCTGGCTAGGAAATCCCTTAGCGATCTCTAAACTTCTGAGCTATGGCTTTGATTGCTTCAACTTAGCAAGTGTCCTCTTGTATTTGACACTCCAGGTTGAAGATGATGACGTGGAAATCTATGTTTCTAGGCACATAAAAGAAGAGTTGTACTAAGAGAAACCAGTGTTCCTGAAACCTTCAAAATAGTGAAGCACAATTTCTAGACTTTTTGTTGACTTGATTTTATAGTCTGATTTGTGCTAGGTAAGGTTTGAACACACACAAAAAAGAAGAGCAGAAGCTAGTAATGATTATTTATGTAGTATCTGTTCACTTCACAACACAGAAAGCCAGATTTTCATTTACTGTCCTTTCAGTGCAATAGCATGGGGTAGGGGGGTGGGACAGGAGAGGAATTGTCCTACACACAGAATGATGTGTGCCATTCTGATCTGTCCTTATGCCAGGCCCACTTGCACTGGGAATAAATGAAGATGATAATATTGGTCTTCAGTTCCTCAAATGTGGTCCTGTCCTAAAGAGATGAATTCTGAGTTCTCATTTGATATTATTGCAACAAAATATAATAGAACTGAATTTTATATAGAGCGAACATCAAAGCCAATACCAATCAAATGGTACCGATTCCATGTGAAAGGGATTTATTGTGATAATAATACCTTATGAGAATGAAATGAGTTTAAGTAGTACTATAATTTCTGAAGTTTATTGACACCAAAAATTACCTGAGATTTTGGTGGTCCTGAATTCTACAACTTTGTAGTTTACCAGTATCAAAGCAAATGATCAAAGCTTTTCATTTAATATGTTGGAAACATTTAATCTTAAAAATTTGAAGGACTCACTACTTGGTGGCATTCTAATGTTTTTAGATTAGCATACTTATGTCAAACATGATGCAAAACATCTAAATATGGACAGAATTCAAATTCCCTTGTGGAAACATAATTCTTCTATTAAGGTTTATATGGAAACACCTATAAATGGAACACTGTGTTTAGCATGAGCACAAGCATTAGATAAAAAATTTTAACATGATAAACATCATATTACAACTTTGTCCACTCCCCTTTAAGTGTGCCACTGAAAAGCAAGCAAAGTGGGAACAAACAGTAATCCTAAAAAGATACAAGGCCAGCTTGTCTTCCTTGTTCCAAAGTTTCTAGACAAACTGTTGTGTGCATTTATTGAAGGCCATCCATGTCCATTTACTTTTCTGGGTGCTGCTGAAACTACAATGAACGACGCAGACAAAAATTCTTGCCTCAATTGACCTTAAACTTGCACAGTGGTTGGGACCAGGGGTGGGAAGCAAAGAAGGGAGGCGGGTAATAAACAAACAGAATGATAACATAGTGTGAGTGCTCTATGCTGTGCAGAAAATGAAGCAAGGTAAGTAGGATGGGGAATCTGTATGTCAGGGTTATGGTGGGAGGCTTGGGATGTTAAATAAGGTACTCGTGGCAGGCCTAGAGAGAGGCGGCGATGGAACAGTCTTGAGCAAGCCTTTCTGCCAAGGGAAGAGTATTTCAGGCAGAGCAAGTTGGGGGGGCAAAGAGCCCAAGGAGAGCATACCTGGTATGTTCCAAGAATAGCTCAGTGTACATACATAAGGAAGTACATCCTAGGTGAACCATTTCTGGCAAATTCCAGAGACCTTGCTTTAAATGAGTTATAGACTTGCTAGTATTAAATCACCTTTACATTCTTGGTCTCATCTCATTATCTTCATTCACTGCTGAGTTCAGTTTGCTGGTATTTTATTCGGAATTTCTGCATTTATATTTAAGAAATGGGCTTGCAATCTTTCTTTCTCATACTTGTCTGGTTTTCATATCAAGGTTATACCTTCAGAAGAGAGAAGCAAGATGGTGGACTAGGATGCTCATAGCTCACCCTCTCCCACAAATACACCAAAACTCACTTCTACGGACCTACTCAGCCAACCAGAGCACCTGCCGAACTCTGACAGAACATTGCCCTCTTCGAAAGACAAAGACGCCAAAAATCTGGTAGGAGAAAAGGAAAAAAGAAAGAAGAAAAAGCAAAACAGTGTGGGACCAATCCCCTGGGGAGGGAGCGGCAAAAAAGACTGGCGCTTGTTAACTGGGTCTCCCTGCATCCAACGGAGAGGCCAGAGGGATGGAGGGGGAGTCTCCGAGGCTCAGATCTGCCCCGAGCACCCCTTGACTGACAGAACTGAGTTAAACGGGCACAAAGGGTCCCCGCAACACCCAGCCCGAGACATGAGCCGGCAGCTGGGGCCAGGATGGACCACCCTAGCCGGGTGGAGAATGGGGGCGACTGCACTGAGGCATTCCCGGGGGACTGCAGGGTGCTGTGCGCCGTAGCTGGGAGGGGATACGGAGCAGAACAACCTCGGGTCCCCCATAAGCTGCAAAAAAAAGTAAAGCAAGACGGCTGCTGTGCCCTGGGGGGAGGGGTGCCATAGCCTTTGTCTCCTCAGACTTACGCTGCCATTACTGGCGCTTCTCACGAGAAGAGAGGTGGGGCACAGCCACAGCCGCCATCTCCTCCTGTGCACAGCGCCCAGGCAGGGGCGGGGTTGGGGCCAAGCCCTGAATCTGTACCCGGGGGCTCCACAACCTCCTGGGCAGGACTGAGACTTGTTTACAGCCCGAGGTAGATAGGATCTTTCTACCCTGGCACCCCAGAGAACTTGCACAGCCAAGACAAACAAGGAGCTGAGATTTGGCACAGGGCAGGGGTGGGGCCGTTCCACGGTCTTCCCCAAGCCCGCCTTTGGGGCGCCGACCCGAGGTGGAGTGGGCAGCTGCACAGAGCATCGGAGAGACCAGCACCAGGAGAGGGCGGGTGACCACCCCCTTTCCTTGCAGGAACGCAGCACCTGATCATGGTGCTGGGGGGGGGGGGCGATCCACCCACCTGCCTCCCTCCAAGCGCAGCACCTGACTGTGGCATCAGGAGAGGGAGTGACCTGCCCACCCACAGGGTAAGAGCTCAGCTCCTGACCCAGTGTTAGGAGGGGGCGCGATCTGCTAGCTGACAGCCACTGGGAGCAGCACAGATGAGGGCGCCAATAGAGGGCCTCTGGAAACAGCAAGCTGAGTTCACGAAACAGGGTGAAGACACAAAGACCTCAATAAAATCATTAAGAGTACACCATCCCCAGGAGAACTAGATAACTGATACTCCTTAAGCCACAGTGCCAGAGAGATATGAGCAATATGAAGAAGCAGAGGAACCACTCCCAATTAAAAGATCAAGAGAAATCCCCTGAAAGCACGATCAAGGAAATAGACATTGATGGCCTACTAGATCAAGATATCAAAGAAGGAGTGGTCAAAGTACTGAAAGAACTAAAAGAAATAGTGTTTAGAGATATAAAATATGTCAAAAATGAAATAGAAGCTATAAAGAAGAACCAAGTAGAATTAGTAAACTCATTTGCTGAGATGAGAGCTGACCTAGAGGCTGTACAAAGCAGGCTAGATAATGCAGAGGAACGAATAAGTGACCTAGAAGACAGGACAACAGAAAGCACCCAATCAGAACAGCTGAGAGAAAAACAAGTAAAATACAATGAAAACAATATAAGGGACCTATGGGATAACATAAAACATGCCAAGCTGCGCATAATAGGGGTTCCAGAAAAGGAAGAAAGAACAAAGGGGATTGAAAACGTATTTGAAGAAATCATGACTGAAAACTTCCCAAACTTAAAGAAGGAATCAGATATCCAAGTACAGGAGGCTCAGAGGGTCCCAAACAGGAAGAACCCAAACAGACCTACATCAAGGCATATCACCATCAAGATGGTCAGAGTCAAGGATAAAGAAATGATCCTAAAGGCAGCAAGAGAAAAGCAAAGAGTGAGTTACAAGGGAACCCCTATAGGCTCTCAGCTGATTTCTCTACACAAACACTACAGGCCAGAAGGGAGTGGCAAGATATATTCAAAGTCCTCAATGAAAAAAAAGATGCAGCCTAGGATACTCTATCCAGCAAGGCTGTCCTTTAGAATAGAAGGAGAGATAAAGAACTTCACAGACAAGCAAAAACTAAAAGAGTTTAGCAACACTAAACCCATGCTAAAACAAATATTGACAGGTCTACTCAAAAAAGAAGCAGGATGATACAAAAACGAGAAACTCATAACTGGAAAGGAGATAACTACCATGAATTACAAATAGAATAAACACAAAATTGTAAAAGAAGACATCTAAATCATTAAGAGTGGGAGAGGGAAGCAAGGAAAGCCACTGTGGAAAACAGTATAGACATTCCTCAAAAGACTAGGAATAGACTTACCATAGGACCCAGGAATCCCACTCCTGGGCAAATATCCAGAAGGAACCCTACTTCAAAATGACACCTGCATCCCAGTGTTCATAGCAGCACTATTTACAATAGCCAAGACATGGAAGCAGCCTAGATGTCCATCAACAGATGACTGAATAAAGAAGATGTGGTATACTTATACAATGGAATACTCTTCAGCCATAAAAACCGACAACATAATGCCATTTGGAGCAACATGGATGTTACTGGAGAATGTCATTCTAAGTGAAGTAAGCCAGAAAGACAAAGAAAAATACCATATGAGATTGCTTATATGAGGAATCTAAAAAACAAACAAACACAACATAAATACAAAACAGAAACAGACTTATAG